AGCAATTGATAGAAATTGTATTATTTAATGTATTAATACACATCAATGTACAATTTGGGGAAAATAATCATTGCAGGTCACATTACCCTTAAAACAAAATACTCATCAGGGAAGGGCGTAGTTTGGCATCTTTTCATATTGTGTTCTGCTGAATAGTTAGCAACACAAGTAATTTCAGCCTGGCGGAGGTTGAATACCTCATGGCTTGGTGATATCTTTGTGATAGTGAGTTCCAAAAGAAAGATCTGGTCACTGAAAGTGTGTGACATTCCACCACCCCCACTATTGCTCTCTCTTGCTTCTGCTTTACGCCATATGATGTGCCTACCCCTGCTTCACCTTCTGCCATAAGTAAAAGCTTCCTGAGGGTTCCCCGGAAGCAAATGCTGACATTCTACTTTCTGTATAGCCTACAGAACTGTGAGGCAATTAAACATCTTTTCTTATGAGTTAACCTATCTCAGGTATTTCTTTATAGCAATGTAGAAACAGCCTAATACATAGCTTCTTACATATGTATATTTGGGCACGTCACAGATTTTTAGTATAGGACAAATTTGAAAAACAAAATTCCTCAATGTAGATATTTATTTTTATATTGCATTAGAGAAAAGCTATATTGACTGACACTTGTATACTATAAACCTATAAAAGAATATGTAATTTCCCATTTCAAAATTCTACATTTTACTCTGTATTCATTCTGATTTCATACAGACATGTATAAAATATATGTAACATTCTACTTTCCTTAAATGGTTTACCAGATATTCAACATGATAGACATGACATTTCATTTTTAGCATATACCATATTGTTTTTTATAATTGGATATTTTTCTTGATTTTCTTTTATTTTCATTAATTGCTGTCACATTTCGGTATTATCGCCAATGTTTTTTAATGCCTACTGGTTTATTATAAAGAATATTGCAATGGATACAGATGAATAGATGTATAGGGGGAGGTGTAGGGGAAGGGGCACAGATCTTCCGTGCCCTTCCTGGGCACACCACCCACCAGGAAACTCCCTGTGTTTAGCTATCTATCTGGAAGCTCTCTGAACCCTGTGCTCTTGGGTTTTTTATTGAGGTTTCATTACATAGGCATAATTGATTAAACCATTGACCACTGGTGATTAGCTTAACTTTCAGTCCCTCTTCCCTCCCTGGAGACTGGGGAGTGGGACTGAAAATCTCCACCTTCTAATTCTGCCTTGGTTTTTCAGGTGACCAACCCTATCGTGAAACTATCAGGCAAAAGACAAGCAGAGAAGAGGACCTTGGAGATCCCAAGGATTTTATAATAGGAGTTGGGAGCAGTGAGCAACAGAAGATCAAAATTCGAGTTCAGTTAATTAGGTGACAACCATATGTACAATACACATACATATGTACACACATACACAAAAGGCAAACTCTTGGCTTTCAACCATAAATTCCTTACATCAAAAAAAAAGTACCTAATCATTAGTAATTATTCCAGTCCACGATATTGTATAAAAGCCTTCCATGGTGAGGCCTCAAGTTTGCAGGTTTTCTCTCAATCTTGTCAGATTTCAAAGCCAGGAGTGGTCTTGGTAAACACACAGCCTCATATTTGCAGGCATCTGGTATAATTAAGCTAAGAGAGGATATCATCTCTTGCTCTGAGACTCTTTTGCATTGTTAATGTAATACTGAATTTCTTTCAATTAATAACCCATTTATTCATTTCTCTACTCTCAGCTACTATTTCTCTTTCCCTTCGTAAAGATCCAAACTTTTTCATTTTTGGAAGGGACATTGGAATCACCACTGTGCTGGTCTTGATTGCAGGCAGAAATGCTAGTCTAGCGATCAGCATTACCCACTTCATTTCACCCCCATTCAGATAATATAAAGTTACACTGGTCCAGGAGTTGTGAGCTATTTTCACCACCAGGCAGTATAGCTGCATTTACTCTTAATCTCAATTTTGCTAGGTGGGGTGAAGGCGCAACCCACTTCCATCATGCCCTTTGGAATTCTGACATAAGGTGTAAAAATGTAGTTACAGTTTTTGTTTAGAAATCATTCCTGTTTTTTGCACTTCTAGCTGTAAACTAGTCCTAGGACCACTGTATCAGGTAGGGGAGAAAAAATAGGAAAACAATTTTTAAGATGATCTGAGGAAGAAATTTAAAAAAATGTATACCAGTGTGCTCCTCTCATGGCAAGAATTGCATAATCATACCAGCATCCTCCCTGCCCCTCTGCCCCAGATCAACCAGAAAAATGGAAAAATCTAGTAGGGACACTCTAGCGCCACTCATGCTGACTGTGAGCATGCAATCGTGAAGAAGGTGTGTAAGTTACCCCTTCCTGCATTTATGAACCCATGTGTTTTAGACAACCAGCAACTTAATTGCTGGTTCTACTTCTCTATCAGTTATTCTGAGGAGGATACCCTTCTGCCTATTGCTGGAAACTGCAGGCTGCACAGTGTGTTCCTTGGTCTGAAAAAGCAGCAGTCAGTTGTCCAAATCCACACAATAGCTTCTGTTCTGTTTTGTTTGTTTGTTTTTCTTTTTTGTGGCATTCTGAGCATGTGCATCTTCCACTGGGTCAGCAAAGGCCCAATCTGCAGCCAGTGTCTATTCCCATCAAGACCCACGTGTAGCCCTGAGGGCTACCAGCATCAGTCTCCTTTTTCAGCTGTATTCAGGGCCTTCCCACCAGTGAATCTGCTTCACAGCCGCCGTTGGCACTCTCTGTTTCCCTTGTTGACAAGCAGAACAGTTCATACTGGAACTCTGGGCCTAAGAAGATGCAGAAGAAACATGTCTAGATTGAGTCCATCTCTGCATTGCTGCAACACCCCCATATCACTCATTTAATGGACCCACGTGGCCACTTCAAGGGACCAGAGGGGCATATCTGCTTTTCAATGCCAGTCACCTTCTGAATCTGGAAGGGAGTTCTTCTGATGGGTATTGATCTGTTCTACTTTGAAGCATCCTTCAAATTTCCATAGGACCAGGCTCCATAGGAAATATCTATTAAAGGGCCAGATTTCCATTGTCCTTTTGCCTGAGAGTACGGCCATGCCATTGGTCACTACCCATGAGTCAAAAAACCCAAAGACAGGAGCTTTCCACTACTGTTCAATTTTTCCATTACTGTAAGAAAAACTGTATGCAATTCAGCCCAGTGGGTTATTTCTTTTTTATATTATTTGATCAAAAAACTTGGAGTCACCTAAGTGTTAGCAAACATTTTGTGTGCAGCTGACCTAATGATTTAGATATGTGGTCCATGCTGTCTACAGAATCCTTCTTGCGCCAAATATTAATTTAGGATTTTTTTAGTTTGTGAGGCTACATCAATGAACAAAAACAGTGAGTCCAACTCATGACTGTCTTTTTTTTTTTTTAATTGTACTTTAGATTCTGGGGTACATGTGCAGATCATGCAGGATTGTTGCATAGGTACATACATGGCAATGTGGTTTGTTGCCTCCATCCTCCTGTCACCTAAATCTGGAATTTCTCCCCATGTTATCCCTCCCTAACATCCTCAACCCCCTTGCTGTCCCTCCCCTGGCGCCCTCTAACAGACCCCAGTGTGTGATGCTCCCTTCTCTGTGTCCACGTGTTCTCATTGTTCAACATCTACCTATGAGTGAGAACATGCAATGTTTGATTTTCTGTTCTTGTGTCAGTTTGCTGAGAATGATGGTTTCCAGACTCATCCATGTCCCCACAGAAGACATGAACAGATCATCTTTTATGGCTGTATAGTATTCCATGGTGTATATGTGCCACATTTTCCTTGTCCAGTCTATCATCGATGGGCATTTGGGTTGGTTCCAGGTCTTTGCTGTTGTTAACAGTGCCTCAATGAACATATGTGTGCATGTCTTTCTAATAGAACAATTTATAATCCTTTGGGTATATACCCAGTAATGGGATTGATGGATCAAATGGAATTTCTATTTCTAGATCCTTGAGGAATTGCCACACTGTCTTCCACAGTGTTTGAAGTAATTTACACTCCCACCAACAGTGTAACAGTGTTTTTATTTCTCCACATCCTCTCCAGCATGTTGTCTCCAGATTTTTTAATGATCGCCACTCTAACTGGCATGAGTTGTTGCCTCCATCCTCCTGTCACCTAAATCTGGAATTTCTCCCCATGTTATCCCTCCCTAACATCCTCAACCCCCTTGCTGTCCCTCCCCTGGCCCCCTCTAACAGACCCCAGTGTGTGATGTATCTCAATGTGGTTTTTATTTGCATTTCCCCAATGATCAGTGATGATGAGCATTTTTTTTTCATGTTTTTTGGCCCCATATATGTCTTCTTTTGAAAAGTGTCTATTCATATCCTTCGCCCACTTTTGGATGGGTTTTCTTTTTTTTTTTTTCTTGTAAACCTGTTTAGTTCTTTGTAGATTCTGAATATTAGAGCTTTGTCAGATGGGTGGATGGCAAAAAATTTTTCCCATTCTGTTGGTTTCTTGTTCACTCTAAAGATTGTTTCTTTTGCTGTACAGAAGCTCTGGAGTTTAATTAGGTCCCATTTGTCAATTTTGTCTTTTGTTGCCAATACTTTTGTTGTTTTAGTCATGACGTCCTTATCTTTGCCAGTGTCGTGAATGGTTTTGCCCAGGTTTTCTTCCAGGGTTTTTATGGTGTTAGGTCTTAAGAGCATGATGAATACATTCTTTTTGATGCCATGGTGCTTTAATATATATAAATAGCCATGGTACATAAAAATATTGAGTAGAAGCTGATTAGAAATATTATAGATGTGATTTCTAATAAATTGATTTTTATGACTACTTCAATTTTAAGGGAGCTTTAAAATATTGATAGTTGTTTCATTATAGATGCATATTTTTAGATGAATAAATACCTCTGGGATCAAATATGTTTAAATAGACGTTTCACCTTTTGATTCCACTCTGGAAATTTTTCACTGAATTAACTATTTAGAAATATGCAGTAATCAACATAGAAATATGTTTTGATGCTGCTTACTTTTTAGAGAATTAATATCAACAAAATATTGCCAGCTAAAATTGAAAAAAAAAGACCAATATCTTAGATACTGTAAAGAATCTGGTCATAGTAAAATTGCCAGAAAATAAAGCTTAATTAGTGGATTGCATGGTCTCTTTCTGAGTTCACAGTACACTCTCTCTCAAAGTCCCAATAAAATACCTGTTTTATTGGGTACTTATCTATTTATTAAGTAAAATTAGTTATTTAGTCAATTAAAAAATACTAGAAAAAAGCAAAACTAAAAATTATATATTTAAGTAATTGAAAACTAAGAGTTATGACCAACCTATTTCTAAAAGTGAGAAGATTTTTCACTAGGTTAAAAGAATTGGGGACTTATCGAGAAACATAATTGGTGGCTTGTAGATGTAAGACTGTACTGATCAGAATGGCATGGTTTGCCTCTTAGTGTCTGAGAAGGTGTAAGCGTTCCCAGCAGACTACTGCCTGCTGGTTTTGAGATGCTTTATTTTTACCAATGATAAAAACTGGGCAACTAGAAATAAATTATACTTTTCTTCTTTATCAATGTATATCTTTCCGGTAACTTTCAGAGACTGCTTCTCTCATATTTAGTCTATCAGAATGCTGGGTAGGGACTGGTGGCCACAGTTTTCATCTGGGCATTATAGTGCCACCACATAATGTTTATGGGCAAAAGCAAAATCAGAAGGAGGCAAAGGGAAATATATATTCAAATTAAAATATCTAAAAGGCAATCCACTGTAAAATAAGAATACCCAAGTCTAGGACCATTGTGCCATGTAAAAAACCACAGACACCCGGCTTTATGTTAAGAGAGATATCCATCCACCTCAGACTGTAGATTAGAAAGCAGGATGCTCCAAACACCTACACAAGCAGTGGAAACAGCAAGGAATAGTCTCATATTTTCTTTCTTGGCAAACACTTCATCTGCTTGGGCATCTATTTCACCAAAGATAAATAAGCAGAAAAAAAAATTTTAAATCTAAAGTAGGAAATATATTCTGAAAAATAAGACAGAAGAAATAGTATCTTACATACTGGTAGGTAAAGCTACCTCAAATTAATCAACTAAAGGAAAAATATTTAGAAAGGTTATATTTATGCTTGTAATAATGTGCAAGACAATATCACCTCTGTGAAATGAAGGTGAGGGACTATAAAGCCACATCTGAAAGAATGACCGCAGACCCAAGATTCATAACATCCTATTGAGAAACAAGCACTCAAATGGAAGTAGGGAAACTGAAAGGTAATTGAAAATGTAATAGCAAAATTATGACCCATTCACTTTGCTGGATGGAAAAAAAGTGCACTCAAGAAAATTACAATAATTATTCTCAGGACATTTGGAGAAGTTCTTTTAGAATCACAAGTGTAAGGCCAGTAATGCAAACTTTCTAAGAACGAGATGGTTGACATTAGGGATAAAGAAGTAAAGATACAAACTTTTATTATAGTTTGTTAACATATAAGAAAGGAAAAATAATCAAACTCGTAATACAAAAAGAACTCCCAGATTGGAAAAATTACCTGGATAGATGTTCTCAAAGAGTTTACTAAATCTAGACAAAATTCATGAAAAGAGAATCATGCATTATATTTTGAGTTACAGTGACAATGGAAAAAAGACTCCACATATATCCACACAAAACTACAGTTGACTTACAAAAAAAAACCCAAATACAAGCAAAATTCCCTTCCAACTTCATCTCGAAAAGACTAAATGTCAGGAATGTGTTGATCAATATTTAGAGGTTTAAAAATTTTATGGTTTTTTTTTGTTAACTAGATATAACACTGGGTACACAGAATGAGCTCAGCTACATACTTCAGTCATCACAGAAGAAAAAGACCAAGTTTGCCAATATAAAATTGGTACCAAAGATATTGTGTCCTGCCCTAAGAAACTGACCTCTTTACTCAACTGTGGCAACTACATTCCTATTTTCTAGATCGATGCTTCAGAATTTGTAAGCTTGTCAATATTAAAATTTCAGATTATTTACTATCTGATTCTATTCTCTCCAAACAAATTCTTGTTTGCAAATTGGCTGCCAATATCAGATACCTTGAAAGAGAAATTTTTTAGCAGGAAAAATTACATCCAGATATCCTTTGAAGTTATAACTTTGCAGCACTTGAATACGGCATATGGCTGAACACCAGTGTAGAATATTTTAAGTGAATTAATCCCTAGGGAACAAAACGTATTCTTTGTGTGTGGGAAAAGTCTGCCTCTAAAAGACTTGGGGCTAAACTTTGAATTGTTAAAGATTTGCTAATGGATTTCAGGCTTTTGAGGATCTGGCTATCTGGTTTTTACCTTTCTTACTTAAAATTCTACTTAAGGTACTAGGTTACAAGCATCCGTTGATTTCACAGTAACTGCAGAAGAAATTCTACTTTTTTCTCTATGTCTTATGTGAGATAATTGAGTCTCCAAAAAAATAAGAAAATTGACAGTGTTCATAGCTTGCTGTTTTGAAAGCCATTATAGTGTATTATATAGCATATTACAGAGACATTTGTGTAATACGCAGACAATAGAAATTCATTTTCATATAAATTTCACCACCACCTTTAAAAATCCTGCTTTGGTAAATTAAAACTCATTGTACTCATTTTAATTCCTAGCATTTGCTTACAAAGAAAATAATATAAACATGCTATAAATGTTTTAAAAATGTTATACGTTGAAGCAAATAATGTGGAGTTTCCTGAAATCTGATGTACAGAAAAATGTTCATCAATCATACATCATTGCAGTAACACTTGAATTGCCCCAACTTCTCCTGAACATATATTCCGTGGATAAAATTGGAAATAATAGCAGTTACAGCTTTTCTTACCAGTATCATCAGTAAGCATCTATCATGTGTTTAAAAGCACAAGCTCACACTCTTTAAACGAGAGAGTATAGTTTATTTTAGAAATACTAAAACAATAAAAATGATAAGATGAAAAGGCTTTTCTTAAAATCGTATTGAGAAAATGCTAATTCCTTGATTAGAGTAAAAATTCTGGGAATGATATACTGTGGCTCTTGTATCTGCTTTCTGAGTAATAACACCTTTTTCAGAAATATAATCCATGTTTGCAGCTGAATGACTTTCCTTTTTCTGTTTTTCTTTTGTAGATACTTGATGCATTTGTGCCAGCCTAACAAATCTAGCTACAGCATTGGTAGAGGCTAGCTATCCTTTGGCTAGATGTGCATATTAAAATTTGTTGAGTCACATGTTGAAGGATGTGGCTACTTAAATTGTTATATTTTATTAGGGTAAAGAAAAATGGAACTTAAATGAAATGCAAAGTAGGAATGAATGTTTTCTGAAATTGAAGCTTTGGATAAGCCCAGGAAGTGAAACTTGCCATCATATCACTGTATATGTCTGAAATAAGAGACTTATTGCAATGGGACCACTGAAGTTAGGAAAAATTGTTCCGTCACATATGATAGTTTTCTGGTATGAATTATATTTCTTTTATGTGGGGAAAAGATGGAATTGCTTACTTGTGTCATATGCAAGAACTCCTTAGCAAAGCCATAATGAAAAATAAAATTATCCCTTTTCATCTGGAGACAAACTGCATATATCAATTATTTATCACTACATAACAAATTATCTCAAAATTAGTGATTTGAGATAACAGTAAATATTGGCTGGGCTGTTTTGAACTAAGTCTCATGAGAGATTGCTAGCAGACATCACAGGCCTACAGTCTTTGAAGAACCAGGTTTATTGGGGCTGGAAGATCCACTTCAAAGTTTACTCACATGCCTGGCTGGTTGCTGGTATTGATTGTTGGTGTGAAGTCCTAGTTTCTTTCCAAGTGGGCATCTGTAAAGGGATGCTTCAGTGTCCATAGGGCATGTTGGATGGCTTCTCCCAGAGGAGTGTGATATGAGACACAAAGGCAGAAGTTTCAGCGTCTTTTTTGGCCTGGCCTCTGAAGTCACACACCATCACATCCACAATATCTAACTGGTCCACAAATCAACTTTATTCATTGTGGAAGGAAAGTACACACACATGTAAATACAAGTAGGTGACTGGTTAGCTCAGTCCATCTTTTGACTTTCAATGTTGAATGCCTTCAAGCCCACTCCTTCATAAAAAAAGTCCACATCTTATCTCCAAATTCTTATTCATTTCCAATGTCAGCTCAAATACAGGATATTTTCTATGATATCAGGTTCAGATAGGGGTAAGACAGCTCAGGGGTGGTGGTTAGAGTGCACACCTTCTCAATAAGAACCTGTGAATGAAAGACACAAGTTCTTGCTTCCTGTCATCCCCACAGGCCCAGCAAACAATGGTGGAACAGGCAAAGACTAACTGGCACAGACCTTCATTTTCATAATGGGGAAAAATAGGAGAGACACAGTCGTCACCACTCCAACATTTCTGGATCTACAGTGGCACATGTTGTCAGTTCCTTGGTTAGGGCTCAAAGTCTGAGGACAATGTACTGTGGCTCTTGGATCTGTCCTCGGAGTAATTTCTCCTTCTTCATGAAATGTTGCCCACATTTGCTGCTCAGGAGTGGCTTTCTCAACCTGCATACTGCCTATGGAATTGTTAGTGTACATCACATCTTTTTCATCTCAGGCTGTCATTGTCCCTTTTGTTTCAAGTTGGCAGTGTCGGACAGTTCTCTTAAAACATTTCTTGGGTCTCCTAGGACTGTTATTGGGTGGACTTCACTAGACAAAAGACACACCTGCATATGCTTTGAGCTAAATCTTTTTCTATGTGTGTTTCTTAGGCAATAGGCTGCTTACATTGTCTTGTATTCTTAGAAGTTATTGGCATATAAATTCACTGAGATAGATATTCACGAGATTTTAATAAAGGATTTTATGGTCACACCCTTGATTTTACTATTAGACCCTTGTGGTAGGCAGAATATTAACATAAAAAGATGTCCTTGTCCTAATCCCTGAAACCTGTGAATATGCTACCACATATGATAAGAGGAAGTTTGGCAAATATAGGTAACTGGAAGGTCTTAAAAAGGGG